AAAAAAAAAAAAAAATGAGAGGGTTGGGGATTTAGCTCAGCAGTTCAGTGGCCTGCCTTGCAAGCACAAGGACCCGAGTTCAATCCCCGGTACCCCCCGCCAAAAAAAAAATGAGCAAAGAACTTGAGTAGGCAGTTCTCCAAAGAAGACATTCCAATAGCCAACAAGCACAATGAAATGATGTTCAGACAAGTGTGATGATGCACACTTGTAATCCTAAAATTCATGCAGGGGAAGGCAGGAAGATCACAAGTTTGAGACCAGCCCACAAAACTACGAAGACCCTGTTTCAACATAAAAAAGACTAAGTATATAGCTCAGTGCAAAGACCTTGGGTTCAATCTCTTGTTAATACACATACACGCATACTGTGGTTCCTCAAAAACTTAAAAACAGAATTACCATATGATCCAACAATTCCACTTCTAAGAATACATCTGAAAGAACTACAACAAAGTCCTAAAGAGGTATCTATATACTCATATTTACATCAGTCTTACAATAGCCAGGAAACATAAAGCATCCCAAGCATTCACTGATGGAAGAAAAAAATGTGGTTATATACACACAATGATGTGCTACTCAGACTCACAATGAAAGGAAATTCTAGCACATGCTACAGGTTCACATAAACTAAAAGTAAAATGGAAGTTACAAGGGCCTGGAAGGGAGGAGAAATGAGTGAAGTTCTTTATTGAATATAGTGTTTCAGTTTTGCAAAATAAAAAAGTTCTGGAGATCAGTTGTACAACAATGTGAATACTTAACATAGTGAACTACACGACCAAAAATTGTTAAGGTGATAAGTTTCATGTTATGTGCATTTTACTACAATTTTTAAAAAGAAAAATATTTACAGCAAGAATAAAAGATATAAATTTAGGGCTGGGGATTTAGCTCAGTGGCATTGTGCCTGCCTCACAAGTGCAAGGTCCTGAGTTTGATCCCCAGTACAGGGAAAAAAAAAATTGAAGTTTAGAAGACAAATAAATATTATTTTTAAAATATATAAATTAAAGAAAATATATGCCAAACCAAAAATATAAGTGAATAAATTAAGTGGATTAAGGATTTTTATACCTAAAAGCAATGGAAGAAATCTAAAAAACAGACTTGAAAACAAAACTTTAAACTGGTATATTTAAACTGTTACTAAGCAAAGTTAAAAACAAAGTAGGAAAAAAATCATTGGAACACAATGACAAAAGCTTAAAATGCTTGACCTATGAAGACCCCATACTAATTCACTAAACAAAACACTTAAACCTCATTTAAAAAATGAGTAGTGCAGCCAAAATTTACAAAAGATATAGTTATTCTACTGGGACCCTACATTCCTCAAATAGTCCAAAATTCACACCAAGACTCAAAAATGCTGTTCCCCTTTGGGGGAAAAAAAGAAACAGCATACTGTATAAATAAATTACAGCATATATGTATTCAATCAAATATTACAGTGATGATGTTTATGAAGAATATTAATCACATGGGAAAATATACCAATGTAACGTTAAATAAAATAAAAACAGCAAGATACTAACTTGGTGACACAGTTTTAGCCCAACTACACTGGACATATACAAATATGTAATTAACATACAGGTGTACAGAAAAAAGATGGAATAGATTTAAAAATTTACCCAATTTACAGTTTAATTATTTCCTCATAATTCTCTATATTTTTAAAATTATCTTTTAAAAAAAAGAAACATTAGAAAGCAATGAGTATGTAACTATGCATTCTATAATTTAAAAGCTGCACTCCACTTACCCATAGTCATGGCTGGACTAAATAGTCCCAGGACTGACACACTTGAGGAGGTGACCAGGTCTTCATATAGTTCCCCATTTAAATATTCTTCTGCTTCTTGGATAGATGTTATACTCACTGGACACGAAATCCTGTTGCTGGGTGAATATACAACTATATTAAAATTTAATTTTTAAAGAAATTTTTAGGTTGTTAAAAACATTTGAATTTATCAATTTATTATACAAGATAAATTCTGACAAAATAAAAACAATTAAATGCTTTTTTGGGGGTGGGGTACAGGGATCAAACTGCAAGGCAGGTGGCGGCACCACCAAGTTAAATCCCTGGCCCAATTAAATACTCTTTTTTAAAAACCAGCTTCATTTTAACTAGTTTCCCAAAAGTGACTGAGTATATATAGACTCTTACGAACATTTACTCTGTGATCAATTCTAGTAAACTCCATCACCTATTCAAAGCATAAGAACAAGTATGAGAATTAGCACCTCTACAGACCCCCAAATTTAGAAATTTTGCTGTGAAGCTGAATACTTACAGCTGGATAAACTTTAGGAGATCTTTAGTTCCTAACATACCAGCATAAGATACAGGATTCTCACCCTTCTTGTACAACTTTACGGCAGGAAATTCAGTAACATTTTGCTTAGTGCATACATCAGGCCAGTCTGCACAGTTTATTCTAGTAAGAAGCACAGTGGATGTTTCTGCATTAAAGAAAAATGCACATTTAAAACAAATATTAATGCAGCCATCTGCTTAGAATGTGCAATAACATCTTCCTATCCTGCTCTGATTTTAACCTCTCAGTATGAAAGATTTCTGCTGCTTCGATTTTTGTTACATTTGCTTTTTTTCCTTATCTCTCTAGGTTCTCTTTTTAGTCCTTTTCGAAGGGTATTTTGTTATTGGAGTTGGAAGTTCCTAAAGGCTCTGCTTAAACTGTCTTCTGTATCTATACTCAGTCCCCAGAAAATATCAATAACCATCAGTAATCTAATGAATCCTCAATCAGTACCTTTGGTCCGGACTCTTCCTTTAAGTTTCAGACCCATGTATCCCCCCAACTTTTTTTTTTTTTTGCGTTACTGGGGATCAAACTTGGGACCTTGCACTTACAAGGGCAGGCACAGCACCACTGAGCTAAATCCCCAGACTTCCTTTCCTTAACAGCCTTCTCTGATCCACAATGGACTCATCCTCAAATCCTACAATGTCTAAAACCAAACATGGTTTTTCCCCCTGGATCTACTGGCAAAGGCTGCTTTGCAACTCAGAAAACAAATCATTCTTTTTCATGCCTCCCCATTCCTAGGGCTCTCGTGTCTAATCAATTAGTATTTCTTTTGTTTGTTTTTACCACTTAAATTTTAAACATCTCTGACTACGGTTCCTTTATTTCTCTTTATTTCCAGTTCTGTGCCTACATTTCTACTGAATAACTACAACAGCCTTCTAGTTCACTTCCTTGAATTCAATGTCTCTACAGTAACACCAGAGTTATCTTTTCAAAAATTCACACATGTCCTGGTGTCAGCACAGCCCCAGCCCTGTCTTGGTATCAGTTCCCAGACCCAAGCTTTGCAGTTAGTTCTGTCTCGTGATGTGTGTCTACTTCAGAGCCTTCTCTGATACATACTCTCACAAAACTATGTTCCTCTCACTGTCGCTCTGTGTGGTTATGCACTCATTGGCGTGGTTATCTGATTCATATCTGTCTCTACCAGGAGAGGTCCTTGAAAGAGGGACTGTGTCTGTCTCACTCATCATTTATTCTCGACATGTACAGTGAAGCACCTTGCACAGGAAGCTCCTTTAACAAGGAAGTGAATAAATGATGCATGAAAATCATCCAGGGCTTCAGAAACCCCTCTCTAGTGAAACACTGCATTCCGTTTCAGTTTAAAACAACAGAAAGTGGAATCCGATGCAGAAATTCCTACTTTTTCTATAATAAAATGTGTGAACTTCTCTAAAATACATAAATCAGGGTGAAATAAGATTTTGTTTCTTTTTTTTTTTTTTTTTTTTTTTTTTTTTTT